ATGTTTCAATGAAATGTATTTTCTGTTTATAATTGGCGCAATTTAAAGATTTCACATATTTTTTAAAAAAAAGTATTATTATATACTTTCATAGTTTGGAAGATACGTTTGGAATAGGTTTGGAATAGGAAGTCATTTTTTTTTCTTCAAGCACATACACAAGCGCGTATAATAATTTATGTAGGTTTTTTTTCTGAGAGGAGCACGCACACTTGGCGCCTTTTTTACCTTGTTTTAAAAAGATAAATTTGTTATGATTAATAAATATACTTATGAAAGTTTTAAATAGTTACTTACGTAACTATTTGAATTTTCGTTTTATTTGTGAAAATACTTTTAAGTATAAAAATGTTAAATATTATATTAAATAATCAAAATTTACGATGAAAAAATTAATATTAACACAAAAAAATGGTCGAGTTTTAGCTGTAAAATCCGGGGATTTGGAGCTCATTGTCCTAGAGTAGTGATTTTACAAATAGCAGCTCTATACCTGATGTATATCCGCGCTCGGGCGATCCAATCCGCTGTGCGCTGAACGCACTTGTTGACACGTCGTGACGTCACGCGCCGTGCACCCCGTGTCTAGTAGATCAGCCGGCGATTTAAAGAGCCAGACATGCTTCGCGGAATTTACGAGCGACGTAATATTCCATCGTGACACACTGACATCCATCGCATACACTGACACGAATACTACGTTAAAGATACGCACACGAAATTATAAATACTAATACTCGTACATCTCACATAACAGATTTTGTATTCGACACGGTACATTTAATAAACTTTTAAAAAAGATACGACCCGGTTGATTTAACTTTTTATGAGCAGCAAATACCTGCGGCAGCGAAATAATATGTAATTTAAATTATCGAGAATTGATTGGAAGTGCGTACACATAAAGGATGATTTTACTCCTTCAAACAGTTTTTTCGCAGCAACTGATATTTTCTAAATTCATCGATTTATGTAAGCTATAAATAACAAAGTTTCGGCTGATTTAATATTCGCTAATAACAAAGTTTCATTAAAATCAGAATTTGACACTTTGCACGGTTCTCTTATAAGCCGTCAAATAAGAATGTTGGATTTACTGAGTGAAAGTTTAAAGTAAACATGATTGATGCCGAAATCCTCGAAATTAAATTCACAGCTCAATTGGCCTTAAAATTTGATTAAGCTAGTACATTCACAAATTGAAAATATTGCGCTAGTCTGCGGTTGTAGTCAAACTAAATGCTTTGAAGAGTTTAGAGTTGACCAATTAGAGAGAAGAAAGAATTTTATAAATTAACCAATAAAAAATTGCTTTAAAGCATTTGTAGCATCGCGTTAATAGTACCTTACGTCTCTACATATCTGTATTGATTTTTTCCGCATATGCGTGCGGCATATGGACAAGTGCAATCAAAAGTTTTTTTCTGCCTGACGGTAATGGGAGCATCGCCATTGAGCGCGCGAAGGGATCGAATTTTGGATGATACCGCGAATGTATTAAAGATAATAAATGTAATAATTACGTTATTGAATGAAACGGTACATGAAATTTACGATATTTCATCCATAAAATGGGCGAATTTTCAATATAAATTTTTTATCTACGTTGATCTTCATCGACTGTTATTCCGAAATGTACAGAATATAAATTTACGTGATATTTATATCTTTCAGTTGTAATTTGTGCTTTTAATTAAATATCACTCATAGAATTATCGAACTTTATTTTTCAAGTTTCAGAATCAATATTTGCATATTGGAATTTTCTAAATTCTTTAGATTGAAATCTTATTTGTTCATCATTTTCTCTGAATAATACTGTGAAGCGCCCCGTTTTATATTTTCATTTATTTATGTTTTACATCACTGTGCGCGATGCTGTTATATATTGCTTATTAATATCTTAGATAATATTACTAGTTCAAAATACGGAAATAAGAAAATATCTCCAAGATGCCTTATGTCCACATAATATGATTAATGTAAAATAATATTAATAGTGGTATAATCTAAAAAGACTATTATAAAATATTTGTATATTATATATTATAATATATATTATAAAATCCCCTCGCGCGACACTGTCGTCACACAATTACTGACAAGGTCGGAACTAACCCTCACCGATTTTGATGGACTTTAGATATGTTGTAGAGCATAAAAAAGTATTAGACACATTTTATTTTTCATGCTTATCTCGAGGTTTAGAGGATAAAATACTCCCTCGAAAAAAATTGATTTTTAATATCGTCGAAACTATAAGAGATAAAAACAATTTTCCAGAATGAAAATTGAAAGGCTTCAAGAATACTTTAGAACTATAATAAAAAAATGTTTTATAATTATAGTTATATTAGTCGACATCATTTTGGTCTTAAAGTAAATGAAGTTGTTTTTAACAGATTTTGATACGCTGATTACGAATCTATCCCGAAAATATTGTATCACGTCAAATTTTTGAGATATTCTAACTTAAAGGTGCAAGAAATGATGTTTTTGACCACTTTAAACGACTTATTGTTAGAAAATGTCTAACAATATTTTTTTCAGCATCCACGCGAATATCACATTAAAATGTTATTTTTATCCTTTTCAACGCATATTCGCTATTATCCGACTTTTTTTCGCTGAGATAGAACAAATTGAATTTTTTTGGTTTTTCAACACGAGAGGGTATTATACCTACGTGCAGAGCAAGTACAAGGATTTTTAAATGTCTTGAAGAGATTGGATTTGAGAAAAAAACATTCATCTAAAGAGATTATGTATAAAACGTTTGTTTATATAAATTTTTAGTGCATTAAATGAATGTTTTCATGAAGAAAATAGAATTAAAAATTGGTATATATGCATTAAAAATTTGTATAAACAAATTTTTTGTACATAATCTTTAAATGAATTTTTTTCTCAAATCCAACCTCTTCAAGACACATTTAGAAATTCTTGTACTTTCTCTGTACGTAGGTAAAGGATACGTGGGCATGAAAGAGACATGTTTTGAAAGAGCCATTTCGTATTGCAACTAATTGAATATAGCCAAAAATTAAAAAATATTTTCATTTAATAACAATACTAAAACTACGTCATCCATAAACATTTGACAGTCATCGTCAAAACGGCGTGGCTGTAATGAGAGATGCAAAATTATCATTACAAAAAGTAAGTTTCTTGAGTTAAATTTCCAAGTCGTTCCGATGTAAATAGCGACGTGGACGAAGAAGCGTCGCGGACAGACAAGTGCCTGTATAGTATACAAAAAAATTAAAAAAAAAAATGTTTTTAAGGATAATATAAGAAAGATAATATAAGATCAATAGTAGACGGTAAAATGTCGTGAACGAAGATATATATTAAACAGTAAAATGTCTTACGAACAAGTGTCAACGATGAAGTGTCGAACGATGAAATGATAGAAGGTGAAGTGTCCATGAACCGATTTTTATTTCGATAAAATGAATACTTTCTAAGATATTTTTGAAAACCTCATTTTTTATCCGTTTTTTGAAGCTGGAAAATTTTCCAAGTCCGCTGACGGTCAGGACTTTTAGTATGTTATATACTACGTTATTTTGAACGATTACCCGCAAACAAATCTTTTATAGCAATTTTGCCTTCAAAACGCAAAAAGAAATTTAATTTTCCTGGGCTATAATGAAATATAGATAAACGTTTTCTCTTTTCCCGGATTTTTATGTTTTGATTTTAATTGTTAAAAAGATTTTACCTCTTTTTTCTATGGCCTTCAAACGTCAGTGAGATGTGCACTTATGGTTTTGATCCTTCAAACGTCGTGATCTTCACTTATCTAACGTACAATCACGACTGCTACCGGAGACGCAAATATACGTGAGATATGATTTCTGCAAAAGGCATGCGCAAAAGGGCGGTCCTATTTCGCTGCGTACTTGCATTTGGCGGTAAGCTGGTTTTCTTCATCTCAATTAATAATTCGTTAACTATTGCGAACATTGAAAGGGTAGAGAACTTTTCTACTCAGTTTAGTGCTGCTATGTAAGAGTTTTATCGTTAATTGTCAGACATTCTGTATTGTTGTATTTCGTATAAATAACTATATATAATCTATGCGTTATGCGTTATGCAAAAGTCTGTGCTGCGGGTATATCCACACAAACTTGCATAGCTGCATAAACGTAAAGAAAATTATCCAATCACTTGCGACTTTATAAGAGAAATGCGATTGAATAATTTTTTTTATGCATACGTTTATGCGGCTATGCAAGTTTGTGTGAATATATCCTAACGAGCGTTTATGTTACAATAAAATATATATGCAAGTTCAAATCAACCAAGCGACTAGTCTGCTCGCCGAATAAATGAACATGATTGGTTGTATAAATCCAAACAATTACATTCAATCATTCGGCGAACAGGCTAGCAGCTGTGTCCGACTTGAACGCGTCCATTGATATTGATCGTGGCGCGGGCGATGCTACCGCTTGCTTTATTGCGCATGCCCTAGTATCTACCAATGGTGTAAGAATCATTCTGAGGCGAATGCGTAGTAGATTAATATAAAAGGAGAACGGTCAGCCAGTTACTCTGAATTTATATTTGAAAATTAATATGGCTGCTTGTCGAAATACACTGTTATTGTTGTTATATTGTTATTGTTATCACATATGTGATGCCATAATAAACATAAATGATTTCTTTATTTTATTACTATTTATTAAAAAAACGTCTGTAATAATAATAAACAAATGATTTAACCTTGTTATTTGTTTTTGTTCGCTTTGTCTCATGCCGATCGTTTTTCATTTGAATTATTTTCATTCATTTGTAATAATTTATTGGTAAATTGTTATACATTTTAAATTATCTTTATTTTAAATTATATATTATATCTATATATTATAATAATTTACAATAAATTATTATATAATGTATATAATGTATAATTTAAAATAATTTGAGATAATTTTAAAAACTGAATGCACTGTTCCTCGAATGAATGCAAATAATTTTTTTCGACGATTTGTTATTGCAGACGTGTGCTAGTTGATTCTGGAGAAGCAAAGACAGCCGGTGATTATATAAAACTCTTGGACAGTGTATTAAACGAAGAGAATGCGACTATTGAGCATTTGGTGGTCACACATTGGCATCACGATCACATTGGAGGAGTGGAGCCCGTGCGAAACTTGCTAAGGAGATTGTTTCCCACGGAAAAGCAGCCAATTGTGTGGAAATTGCCACGATCGCCGAATGATACGAACAGCTCGGATGATGAGAAATCAATTCAATGGAAACCTCTGAAGAATGATCAAGTTGTGGAGGTCGAAGGAGCGAAGCTTCAAATAAAATACACGCCAGGGCACACCAGCGATCATGCATGTCTGTTGCTGCAGGACGAGAATATTTTGTTCAGCGGCGATTGCATCCTCGGGGAAAGTACGACAGTCTTCGAAGATCTTCACGATTACATGTTGTCGCTAAATAAAATTCTAGAGTTGCGGCCCAAGATAATTTATCCAGGTCACGGGCCAGTTCTTAACGATCCTCTGCCACATATACAGTATTACATTAAGCACAGACAGCAGAGGGAGGAGAATATTTTACAGATGCTGCAACAACAGGGAAATGATAAATCGATGACGGAGATGGACATTGTTAAGCTGATATACAAGGTAAATGATGCAATAAATTAATTACTTATATGTACGTAGTTTTTCTAAAGGAATTAATTAAAATTAAAAATATTTTGCACAGGATACCCCAGAGAAATTGTGGCTAGCTGCAGCATTTACTGTGGGACATCATCTTCGCAAGCTAGAGAAAGAGGGGAAAGTGTTGCAAGAAGAAGAAGGTGGCTGGCGGAGAATTAGAGGTAAAATGTAGATAGGTGTACCATGTGAAAAACGTCCACATTAAATATACAAATTAGATTAAAATTAGATAAAATTAAATATTTAAGGAGTAGAAATAAAATTTTGTTCGAAAACTTATAAAATATTAATTCTGGAAAAAAACCT